CCCCGTCTCTACTAAAAATAGAAAGAAATTAATCAGACAACTAAAAATATATAGAAAAAATTAGCCGGGCATGGCGGCGCATGCCTGTAGTCCCAGCTACCTGGGAGGATGAGGCAGGAGCATCGCTTGAGCCCAGGAGTTTGAGGTTGCTGTGAGCTAGGCTGATGCCACGGCAGTCTAGCCCAGGCAACCGAGTGAGACCCTGTCTCAAAAAAATAAAAAGAATAAAAAGCTTAGATTAGCTCCTAATGCATAGTAATCCCTCAAAGAATTATTATTTATCATTTATTAGCCCTATCATTATATCAATAGCAGGAGGACATAGGAAGCCAGATTGAATTTTTCTGTTTTCCAAGAATTGTCAACTACAGTCCACCTCTAAAAGCAGAAGATGTACTTCATATTTTAAGTTCAGAAAATCACTTGACAGCTTGCTGAAAGGGGCTGCTATGGATTGAATTATGTCCCCCAAATAAGGTATGTTGAAGTGTTAATCCCCAGTACCTCAGAATGTGACTTTATTTAGAAATAAGATTTTTATAGAGCCAGTCAAGTTAAAATGAGGTCCCTAGGGTGGACCCTAATCCACTATCACTGGTGTCCTTATAAAAGGGTGTCCTTTGGACACAGACACAGCCATGTACAGAGGGATGATGGTGTGAAGACATACTGGGAGAACATTGTGTGCAGATGAAGGATTAGAGTGGTGCATCTACAAGCCAAGAAATGCCAAAGATTGCCAGCAAACCGCCAGAAGCTGGGAGGAGGTAAGGAAGGATCCTCCTACAGGTTTCAGAGGCAGCGTGACCCCGCCTATACCTTGGATTTGGACTCCAGCCTGCAGAACAGTGAGACAACAAATTTCTGGTGTTCTAAGCCACTCAGTTTGTGGTACTTGGTTATAGCAACCCTGGGAAACTGATGTAGGCGCCTTTTCGCTATAATGAGCACTGTATTTCTCCAGCTCCCTGGAGGGTGTTAGTTGTTTATGAAGGGAGGTTATCCTCACACCTAAGCATCCCACAGTAGGAGTGTGGCATTTGAATTTTCTACTCTCTGACACTGGAGGGGAGAGGAGAAGCTGCTGTAAAGTTTGTGGGTGTCTACAGGAATCAGGTGTCAATCCCATTCCCCACTGGTAGTCTTCGGGACCGAGATAGGACTTGCTGACCTGCTTCAGAACAACTGGAGCAAGAACCAGCAATGTTAAGAGAAGACATGGCTATATGGCCATGCAGAGAGAGGCGATGGACCACCCCTGCAGGTCAGAGCTTGCAAGAGAAAAGAAAGAAAGATCTCAGCACTGACTGCAGGCCCGAACATTAGAACCCTAGAGGGAGATGAGACTGGAAGCCTCAGGTTTCCCAAGCATTGCTGCAGCGTGGGGAGCAATACATACCAAAGCACTGCAGCAAAGTGCTGCCAGCTGGGGGTCAGTCTGAAGATGCAGCCAGATTACAGAAGAGGCCAAATGCCCGGGAGAACCGCTCAGAACTGAGTGGCTCTTTACCGTGGCCAGTAGCAGCCTCCACATACCTACCTAGGTTAGGGATCTAATCCACATAAAGAGGATGATATTCTGACATAGGAGCTCATTTAACTTCATTTAATTTTTAAGAAACAACAACAGTTACTTTAAAAATAGTTTATATTTGCATTTTATGTGCTCCAGGAGCTGGAGACCATACAAATGGCCAACAGGTACATGAAAAAATACTCAACATCACTAATCATCAGGAACATGCAAATTAAAACCACAATGAGATAACACCTTACCCCTATCAGAATGGCATTATTAAAAAGTCAAAAAATAGATGTTGGCACAGATGTGGTGAAAAGGGACCACTTATACACTGGTGGAGGCAATGTAAATTAATACAACTTCTATAGAAAACAGCATGGAGATTCCTCAAAGAACTGAAAGTAGACCTGCCATTGGATCCAGCAATCCCACTACTGGGTATCTACTCAAAGGAAAAGAAGTCATTATATAAAAAGGATTCCTGTACTCATATGTTTATTGCAGCTCAATTCATAACTGCAAATATATGAAATCAACCTAAGGGCACATCAACTGATAAGTGGATAAAGAAAATTTGGTGTGAATATACCATGAAATACTACTCAGCCATAAAAAAAAGAATGAAATAATGTCTTTTGCAGCAATGTGCAGGAACTGGAGGCCGCTATCCTAAGTGAAGTATCTCAGGAAAAGAAAAACAAATGCTGCATGTTCTCACTTACAAGTGGGAGCTAAGCTAGGGGTATGCCTGGTCACACAGAGTGGTATAAAGGACACTGGAGACTTGGAAAACAAGGAGGCAAGGGGTGAAAGATGACCTATTGGGTACAATATACACTATTTATGTGACAGGTACACTAAAAGCCCAGATTTCATCACTATACAATTCATCCATGTAACAAAAAAACATTAGTATGCCCTAAATATATTGAAATAAAATTTTAAAAAATAAAAATAATTGAGAAACAAAGGTCCAGCAATCTGAGACTCCAGCTACCTTTTCATCCTTTTTACTTTTAATACCCTCCACTATGAGCCATACCCCAAATATGTCCTATACTGTCTCTCCTCCAAGGCTTTGCCCTGTCCCACGCCCTCTGCCTGTAATGTTCTTTCTGTTAACCACCTTAAAAAAATTTTGCCAACCCTTCAGCTTCATTTAGTAAATCAGTAAGCATTTATTGAGGGTCCATTATATGCCAGTAGGCATACAAAGGTAAATATATCTTGGACTATTCCATTAAGATGCTCATTGCCTAGAGTAGCAGCTCTTACCAATTTTGCCTCTGCAGTTCACATGATGTATGTTGTAGACATGTTGGATGCCCTCGCACTGGTGTTTCCGACCTTCTATTGGCTCCAAGTTGGATAAAAATAAATCAAAGTTGATTACAAGTCTCATTTCATTTGCTGTGACTCCATCCCTTTTCTCATTACAGTTTATTGTTTTCAAATGCCACCTTCTGTTTGAAGTCTTCCTTAATCTCTTCAAATACGACGAATCAGTTTCTCCTCTTCTCCTGTGGGAGACATTTACCTCTCTACTGTGGACGATGTCATTCCACCTTGCACTACAGCTTGTACAGCATACTCAGCACACAGTTCAGTCCTGTGTCTTTCAGAGCAGACAGAAACCTTTCTTTTCCACACAGATCCCACTAAATATTCGTGTCAAATTGAACCATATTAAATCGGCTCATTGGCCAAAACAGGAAGCAAATGTGAGTGGGGAAGCAAAGCTCTAAACAGCTGATAACCTGGCATTCATGGGGAGGACTTTGGATCCTTCGAAACATCGTCACCCAACTGGGCTGAGTGCATTCATTCTCTCAGGAAAAACTAGTTCCCCACAGCAAAGAACTGGGAACGGCAGCAAGAGATACTTGGCTGCTGGCAGAGCAAGGTGAGTTTGCTTAATCTAGCGGCTTGGATGGATAACTAAGGGATAGCGATAAGATTTTTCTGCCAAATGAGACTTTTGGCAAATCTAAGCGTGGGTGGAGGACATGGCAGGGAAACAAGAAAAAAAAGAAAAGAAATTTTAAAAACCACAGCAGAATGTATTAGAAAATTGAGCAATGTAAGCCACCCACTGGATATACCCTGCACTGGCAAGGCAGCTTCCCTCGCGGAGGATGGTCCTCCACTTAACTAAGATTTACATAGCTGGGACCTTGGAGAATTCATGTCTACTCTCCCACCCTCTGTTTTCTGTTCCAGAAAATGAGAGGCTTGAACTCAGTATTGGCCAAGAGACTTCCAGTTCTGAAATTTTGTTTTCAGGTAGTACTCATATATGTAGAGCCCAACACTAAACACTGCAAGAGACACAAAGATGGAAAAGACAGAGCTCTTGCCCTCTGGTAGTGCCCAATCTCTTCGACCCTTAAGTTTCTCACCTGTAAAACTGGGCAGATGTGAGACTTAATGGAGATGTATTTGTAAAGCATTGACCGCCTGGCACCTCCTATGTGCCCTATAACTATATCTAATATTATCTCTAAAACAGGATTAATACAGTCTTAGGGGGCTGAGATGCTCAAATAATTCTAAAAGAAGCAAAAGTCCTTTTTAGATGTAAATACAAGGGCATACGTGAGAGACTACTCTGTTGCATTTATTTTTTGGCAGCACGAATTCAATAACTTCAGCAGGCCCCACGGCCAATTCCGTGTTTGTGGTGGCACCCCACAGGGTTATCCTGTGATCCCGGGAGTCACGTCGCAGGTGACCCTATATCCAAACAACCAGCCCCAAATCCACCCAATTCCTGGGAACCCTTCTGGTTTGGTATCGAATGTGAATGAGCAGCCTGCCCAGAAAGGCTCGACAGAAGGCAAAGCCTTAGGGGTGGCTGGGATTTCACTTCACAGGCCAGGATCGCTATGCTGGAGGGAGAGGAGAGGAAGGCTTGGGAAACACAGAAACTCCTCCAAATCGGAAAGTGGGCTTGCGGCTGACCCTGCCTTGCCAAACTTGTATCTATTAGAAAGCTGAGCTGTGCGGCATCACCAGGGGCCTCGGTATGGGGCCTTGTATTTCTGACTTAGGCATTTTAGGAAAGAGAAGCAAAAGCAACAAAAAAATGGTACTCTTGAGTGTTGATCCTGTTGCCAGCATCCGTGTTGATCCATGTGGCATCTGGAAGTGGGTCCAGCAAGGCCAAAGGAGGCCACAAGGTGGAGTCAAAACCCAAGGTGATTGAATCAAATCTTTGCCCAACAGGGAAAAAAGCAGGTTAGACAACAGGCACAAAGAGTTCACAACAACCAACAAACCCTGAAAGGCTGCCCTGGGTAGGGCAAGGGGAGGCCCATCTCATTGTGTAGCTGAGTGACGACAAACATGAATTCTGATCCTGACGGCATGAGCCCGGTCCTAGCTCCACCCTCAAATATTGCTCATGGGAGTGTAAATTGACACAACCTGTATGGAGGGCAATTTGTGTCTACCAAATTTACAAAATACCCAATTACTCCATTTCTGAAACTTTATCCTCCAGATACACCTGCACCCACAAGAAATGTGATACGTATGAGCTTACTCATGGCAGCATGGTTCATGCTAACAAGAGGATGGAAACAACCAAAATATCCATCAATATAATACCAGTTAAGTCAATATTTTGTACATCCAAAGAATGAAATGTAGTGGAGCTACAAAAAGAACAAGGAAGGTCTTTATTTAATGATAGGGACTTACCCCAAGGTAGAGCACTAATGGAAAAGGGGCTGACATTGCATATAATTTGCTACCATTTGTGCAAATTTAAGGAAATAATATATTTGTATTTGCTACCATGTCTGTAGTATACATACATATACAGATGTCTCTAGACTTACAATAGGGTTATGTCCTGATATAACCATCATAAATCGAAAGTATCATGTCAAAAATGCATTTAATACACCTAACCTACCGAATATCACAGCCTCGCCTAGCCTCAGTGTGCTCGGAACAATTACACGTTAGCCCGTAGTTGGGAAAAACCAACTAACACAAAGCCTATTTTATAATAAAGTATTGAATATTTCATGTAATTTATTGAATCCTATACTGAAAGTCAAAAACAGGATGGTTGTATGGGTACTCAAAGAACGGTTTCTACTGAATACACATTGCTTTCACACCATGGTAAAGTCAAACAATCTCAAGTCGAACCATCATACGTCAGGCACTGTCTGTACACATACATGTATAGATGACACGTGTGTGAAAGTATATCTGCATTAGTGTCCTAGGGCTGCCATAACAAAGTACCATAAACTGAGTGGCTTAAGAACTGTATTGTGTCACAGTTCTGGAGACTAGAAGTCTGAGATCAAGGTCAGCAGGGCCATGCTCCCTCTGATGACGCTAGGAAAGAATCCGTTCCAGGCCTTTCTCCCCACTTCTGCTGGGTCCTGGGCTTGTGGCAGCATCACCCCAATCTTCACGTGGCCTTCTTTTTATAAGGACACCAGTCATATTGGATTAGGCGCCCACCCCACTCCAGTGTGATCTCAGCTAATTACATATGCAACAACCCTATTTCCCAAAAGGTCATATTTTGAAGTACCGGGTGCTAGAACGTCAACATATGAATTTGGTGGGGAGCAGGGGAAAGGAACACAAGTCAACCCATAACAATATCCTCAAGAAATAAGAGGTGAGGGCAAAGATTTACATACAAGGATATTTATCTCAATGTTATGTGTAATACAAGAACATAGAAACAGTCTCACCAATATTTCTGCCCTGACATCTTGAATGCCTCACCGCAACCCCTTCCTCAGGGCCACTCAGTTCCCTACAGCCCCTATGACCTTCCTCCCTTTCTTCTGCAGGGCAGTTCTGTTCTTTGCTGCCTTCTCGCCTCCAGGACTATCTTTCTATTTCCCAAAGATCACGATGTCCTCTTCCGAAACAAAGGCCCATCTTCTCTGGCACCTCAGAAGGACTGACAGGGACATCAAAAGTCCAGCCCTTTCTTTCCTTCCCTCCCTCCAAGTCTCTATAAACAGAAGTGTGTGAAATTGAGATTTGCTTTTCCACTTATAGGAAAACATGGCATTCCCTTGGAAGGCAGCAGCAGCTAGAATACATTTCCATTGTAAATAACTATTTCTGCTCCATGGCACAAGCATCTGCCCTGAGTGGGAGTGTAGGGTCAGGGTGAAGAACATGGGGTCCAAAGTCAAGCTGCCTGGATTTGATTCCCACTCTACTATCTGCTGGATGATATCAGGTGAGATTTTTTGAATCTCACCTCAGTCTGCCTCAGTCTGCCTATCTACAAAATGGGAAGAATAATGGTGCCAGACGGGCTGTCATGCAGTCAGACAAGGCAAGGTTAAACAAGCCCTTCATGTGGTGGGGGCAGGGCAGTGATGGGGAGTGATTGCCAATGGGTATGGGGTTTCTTTTGGGGGTGATGAAAATGTCCTAAACTTAGATTGTGGTGATGGTTGCATAACTCTATAAATATACTAAAAATAATTGGATTGCACACCTTAAATCGGAGAATTGTATGGTATGTAAATCATATTTCAATGAGGTCTTATAAAAAAATAAAAGCACTTCCTGTAGTGCTTAGCAAATGGTAGCTTTTAGTAAATTACAGTCATGCCCTTTCAGACCACTCTTGCTACCACATTGGGCAAAAGATGGCAAATAATCCCATCGGTCACAACGCCTACGGGATACCAGCGTTGAAGCAAAATACACACAGTCTATGTCCTCATCCTAGTATTTGATGTTCTGTGTCATAGAGACCAATATTAATCTGAGTTACTAAAGGTACTTTTCCAGATATGTAGACAGACAAGGACTGATGTTGGGCTTCCATCTGAAAGCAGCAGAGAAGACGCTAGTAACCCCTTCCTTCTTCCCTCCAGAACCCCCAAGCCTAACTGAACCCTGATACAAAGATTGGAAAGCAACAGAGTGTCCATGTGGGGAAACAAAAGACAAGGACAGAAGCTGACATTTATTGAGCATCTACTGTGTACAAGATATACTAAATGCCAGGTGCAGGACACAAATTATCTCATGACATGACACTTAGGAAGAGCTATAAATTTTCCCATTTTTCAGATGAGGAAATAAAGATTTAGAGACGTTAATAGCTTACCCAAAATCACATGAGTTGCAAGCCAGAATTTAAAACTAGGTCTGCTGGACCCTAGAATCTATGTGTATCCCACCTCATTGCCCTGTCATGCCATGCATAACAGCTCATTCATTCTGTTCCCCCTGTTGAGCTAACGGTCCAAACAAAGAACCCTAGCACGTGCGACCAGAATCACAGAAGCCAGAGGAACGGCGCCCCAACCCCTGACCTCCTTCTAAACCCCCTCTCTTCTGTGTCAGTTTATCATTTCAAGATCCCTCTCGGTGGCAGCAGAAAATTAGCCAAAATCTTCTTGCCTGGTGTAAGTCACGTCCTGAGACTAGCTCTCCCAATAGGGACCTATAGGATAGAGTCACAAGGGGGGAAGTGAGGTTACCGTAATACTCCCCCCCCATGCTTGCACCCACCGTAACCAGACACAGGGCACTCACACGCATTCTCGCCCATACCTACTGGCCGCATGAGCCTGGCCCTTGGGTCACAAGTAGAAAAGATTCCTGAGGATTCAGGGGAGGGAAGGGGCAACACAGTCACCTTAGTTAAGGCATCAGAGTGTGGAGAAAGGAAAAGAAGGAGAGAATAGCTTCCCTTAGAGGCTCTCACAAGAGGAGACACAAAGCTCCCAGGGGCCCCGGGCTGCCCTTCCCCAGAGCAAGGAGCCAAGAGTCACTGCAGCGCACAGCCCTTTCTGCAGGGAGGCTCGGGCGCCTGCTTTCCTAAAAAATCCAGCCAACAGAGCTCTGGCCATTAACACAGACAAAGCTCTGTGCTCCCCTAGCAACAGAACAAGATGGTAGCTTTGCTTCTCTCACAAGCAGGTTATCTAGGGTAAGGCCCAGTCCCTACAACTAGATGAGATCTATTTGAAAATTTCCAAAGGGACACACAAAATGTCTGGGCGTATCTTTCTGTACATGGCTCAGAATCATGGAGTATCTGAGCCTACTGCATCCCAAGACACTAGGGTGGAGATTCCTGCCTGTATCCTGTGGGATAAGCTGATTCTTGAAAACACTTCTCCCATGATATGCTCTATGAAGGCAGTTAGGTGACCTTGGGAAAATCTCTATTTATTGTTGCCTCTCTGGAAGATCCACAATCCTTGTTAAAGGCTCTGAGAAGTCCTGCAGCAAACACCTGTTTACCTTTATTCAACCCAGCTTTTTTCAAAGGTAACTTACCCCAAAATCATTTTTCACAGAATGCCTCTTTACCTGCTGCAGAACTAGGGCTCCAAGAATCCACATTAAGATACACTTTTTTATGAAAAGAGTTATGGTGGTGACAGTTGCACAACATTGTAAATGCCGCATTTAATACCATTGAACCATACCACTTAAAAATGGCTAAAATGGTAAATTTTATATTATGTATATTTTAACCCATAAAAAAAATTGGAGGGAAAAAAAGAAACACTTTTGGGTCTCCACTCATCTAAGTCCTTGACGTACAGCTTTAAGCACATGGCATTTCTTAGTCTTGGTTTCTGCCTTTGTAAAACAGTACCTACCTTACGGCGTTGCTGAGAGAACTCAATGCAATTGTGCATAGGATGCGTGTGTACCCACCAAGCGGCACCTCTACTCACATGCTCTGCCTTCCTGCCCATTACTATAGACCAGGGTTTAGCAAACTTTTTCTGTAAAAGCCCGGATAGTAAGTATTTAAGCTTTTGCAGGCCTACAGTCTCTGTCACAGCTCCAGCTGCCCTGTAGCAGCCACAGAAAATACTAAGGAAATGGGCGTGGCTGTGTTCTAATAAAACTTTATTTACACAATAAGCAGCAGGCAGGATTTGGCCTATAGACCATAATTTGCCAACCCATACTACAGACCAGCACTGTCCAATAGAAATACACAAGTCACGTAGGACATTTTAAATTTTCTAGTTGCCACATTTTTAAAAAGAAAAAAAGCAACAGGTGAAAGCAATTTTAATAGTATATTTTATTTAACCTAATATATCTAAAATGTCATTTCAACATGTAATCAGTATAAAAACTTAATATTTTGCATTTGGAGTACTGAGTTTTTGAAATCCAGTGTGTATTTTGCACTTACAGCACGTCTGAATTTGGGACTAGCCGCATCTCAAGTGCTCAAGAGCCACATGGGGCTACTGCATTGAACAGGGCAGCTACCGATGAGCTGGCTGTGTCTCGTGTAAATTCAATCGCTCCATCCTCTCCCACCTGCTCAAGTTCTCTGCCCGCTCCCTCGCCCCGTCTCTCTTCTACATCAGCAACCTTCCCCCCTTCACTGGAGCTTTTCCATCAGCATTAAACATGTTTTTGTTTCTTCCATCTTAAAAAACAAACCAACCTTCTCTTGGTCCCACCTCCCCCATCAACTGCCACGTATTTCCTTGGTCCTCTTTTCAGACAAATCTCTAAAATAACAGTCTACACTCCCCACCTCCACTGCTCTCCTCTCAGATCCCCTCTGGACCCACTGCAGTTACTTGCAGCCTCACTTCTCCAAAAGCCTGCTCTGGCCCCTGACCCCAATCACTCCTTCTTTCTGAGGGACTCCACATGGCTTACAGGTTTCACCCTTGCTCTCTTCTCTGTCACCTTTGCTCGTTCTTCTCTTTTTCCCCATATCTTGGGCTCAACTGTCATTTCTCTTGTTTTCTCTCTATTCTCTGCCTTGTCAATCTCATCCAGCCTGGTGACTTGAAACACCTTCTCTATGACAACGACTCCCAAATGCACAGCTCCAGCCAATCCTCTCTCCTACACACCAGTCTGGCACGTCCAGTAGTCTATGCAACAGTTCGAAATCCCCACATCCAAGTGTCCTCTCCAGATTTCACTTCCCAAACCTTCTCTTCTCAGCTTTCCTGATTCCAACTGACAGCACCTCCATCCTTCCATGTGCTTGGGACAAAACCCTGGGGTCATGATGGACCCCTCTCTTTCTCTCCCACCTCACAGCCAGTTCCTTGGGCGGTCCTGTTAGTGCCACTTTCAACATGCATCCAGAATCCAGCCATTTCCCCGAGTTGCTCCATCCCCATGCTGGCCTGAGCCACCACGCCTCTCCTCTTGGTCACAGAAACAGCCTCCTGACCGCTCCCTCTCTCCCACACTGGCCTCCATGCAGCTGTTGTTCACACAGCAGCCAGAGGGATCCCCTGGAATTGTAAGATCCCATCACTTCTCTGCTCAAAACCTTCCACTGCTGTAATTTTACTCAGAAAAAAGCCAACAACCTTCCAGCAGCCTGAAGATGCTGGCCCTTGTGCCTCCAACCCCAGGCTCTGCTACAAGCCTCTGGCTCTTACCAATGGGCCACACTAACCTCCCAGATGTTTTCTCAAACACACCAGGCATGGTTCCTCCTCCGGGCCTGAAATGTTCCCTCTGGCTGGGACACTGTTCCCACAGACATCCCCATGGCTCCCTCCCTCCCTTCCCTGTCGCCTTCAGGTCAGTGCTCAGTAGCCACCTTCCCAGTGAGGCCACCTGAACAACCCAACACTCATGCTATCCCAGCACCCCTCTTCCCTTCCCTTAATCTATCTTCCCTAGCCTAAGCATCTTCTAACACCCTCTGCAGACTTACTGCCTGCCTCCTCCCACGACAATATAAGCTTTCTTAAGGGCAAGGATGTTTTTCTGTTGCATTCACTGTCATACCTCAAATACCTAGAATACATGCCTGGCATGTAGTTGACATTCCATAAGCATTTGTGCCAGCTGTGGTGTATACTCAGTATAACGGTGGCCACTGACTGTTGTTTGTATTCGATCAGAAGTTCCTTTTCTCTCCAAGAGACTTGAAAACTTCTCTCTCCAACATTCCTAAGAAAAGTCTCTCCCCAGAGAGGTCGAGTCCGTGTCATTGATCCAAAGTACTTGAGTTCCTCCCCTCCCAGAAACATTTTATGGCTCCCATATGCTTCAGGATGAAAGTCCAAATTCCTCAGCCAGGTATCTGTCCTCTCAGGAATCTGCCTCTATCTCACTGTGCCTATGACTCACCTCCCTTAGAATCTCTCACTCGCCCTGAACTCCAGCTACTCCCATCCACTGGGAGAGGTAGGACTGAAGAATATTTGGGTCTTTTCCTCCTGGCAAAGAACCTACCGAGCAACCAAGCAGGTGTGGAAGCAGATGCTGGGGGAAGGGCTAAGGGAGAGGAGGATGGGGAGAGTTCAGGAAAGAGTAAACCCCAGCAGCACAGCCAACACCCTGGAACAGAGAGAGCTGTAGTTTTTGAATCAGAAAACTTGGCTTCTAATCTCAGTTCTGCCAACATCTCAACTTGGGCAGAGACCTCTCCCCATGCCCACCAACACACCACCTTCAGGCCTCAGCCGCCCCATCTGACCATGGAGGGCCAGACTGTGTCCAAGCTTTGCACATAATGACCCCGAATGCAGGGGCTCCAGGGTTGGAAAGCTGGAATTATTTTCAGTCAAATAACAAATAACTCAGCGGCTTGAGGGACCCTTTTTCCTTGGAAGATTTTATGTATAAAAGAGTTTTGTTTAAAAAAAAACATTGGAAAAGGACCAGCATACTCTGCAAGGGCCCTTCCACGCTAAGCTTCTGGGATTCGTTGACTCAGACACCTTCATCCTGCCTTCCCTTTGCCTAGGACGCCGCTCCTACCCCCACCCTCTCTAAATCCCCTGGTAAGAATCAAATCTCTCAGTGCTCTGGGTGCTTTCTTTGCTCTCTTCTAGTTCTTGCTGAGTCTAAATGTCAAATGCATAAGTGAATTATACTGATCTACATCTGGATCTGTCCCCCTCACTAGACTATGCCTGTCAGGATTCTGCTCTCAGCCACTTGTACCGAATGGATGTTTAAAAACTCCTTGGTAAATTGAGGGGCGAGAAGGAAAGGGCTAAGGAGATGCCTCTCCAAAGACGAGAATTCTCTGAGCAGCTGGCTCCCCTCAAGGCCATTTTTAAAAATGATAATTGAGAAACTTTTGTTACCTACCAAGTGCTGTGTACCTTATTAATATTGATATGATTAATACTGTCATGTTTATCATCTGACATAACTGGAACCCAAATGGCAGTTGAGGTCTTCCCTTGGCTTTCTCAGATGCAGGCGGGTTCTCCTCAAACTCTCCTCCCAGGTGCTCTGGGAGACCCCGCACCCCTGGGTGTTCTCGGGGGACAACAAGCAGAGGCCTGCGTTTCTCCTGGGTCCCTCCTGCTGCTGAATTAGTTCAATTCGGGGATCATTTCACTGACTTTTTTCCCAAGACAAAGGGCTAGTCCCCATTCCTCCCCTCCACAAAATGTCACTGTCATGAGCCAAGAAGGTCCTCTCAATGACTGGCTCTCTCCAGAGGGTCAGCGGGAGGGCGGAGGTTTACATCGGAGCCCCGCAAACCACTGATCCCAGGAGCGTCGCCAGCCCCGCTTGGCGAGGTCTGGATCTCGGGCAGGAGCCTTTCCCTGCAGGCTGCACCTCCCGCCATGGCGCTCGGGACCATCTGTCCCCTGGTGCCATCTCGCTTTTCGCTCTGCAGCCTGTCTGAACCCTCAAATTCCTATTCCCGTCCTCCACAGAACAGCTCCACTTTCCCTGTGTGACTCCAGACCACACCTCAGGCCTCCCCGCACCTGAAGCCACCTGTCAAGGTGTTTCCCCAAACACGATGACCCTGTCCCTCAGGGGGGCGCTGGCAGGGAGTGTTGAAATAGCCACGCTTTCACCCCCACACGTGATCCTCACAGACACCGGGTGGGATTTTCTCCCCATGAGGCTGACAGAGGGCAGGGGACCCCAACTGCTCGAAGCCAGAGATAGTCCTTCGCAGTCCACACTCCGAGTTCCCGTCCCAGATGGCCCCGCTCTGCCCTGGGTCCGCAGGACTGCGGTCTACCGCTGGTCTCCGGCGCGCTGGGGTCGGCATTGTGCGCGTGGCTGCGCACTTCCGCTGCCCACAGGTCTCGCGGCTGCGCACTTCCGCAGCCTACAGGTCTCGCGGCTGCGCACTTCCGCTGCCCACAGGTCTCGCAGCTGCGCACTTCCGCTGCTCCCCAGTCTCACGGCTGCGCACTTCGACGGCCGACGGGTCTGCTGTCGGCACAGCAACTGGAGTCCCTGGTTCCTCAGCACGTGGAAAGATGCCCCAAAAGCGTGGAGACGTCAGGGGCCTTCATGGTTCTCGCTCCTGCAGGGCAGGGCCTTGGTTCCTTCCGCCTTTCCTTCGCCCTTATTAGCCCCCTCCTGTGTACCTGTTTTCTAGGTGAGCGTGGTCTACCCAGATGTCTATACAACAAACCCAGTGTTCATCCCAGAACCAGCGAACTCACCACCGCCACGTTATTTCGTTCCCTCAAGAGTGAATTAATACTGTTATGTTGGGAGTGGGCCAGTTATCTCAGAAATGGGCTTCCAATAAAAGGATTAAGTTTTGGCGTCTGTCCTCTCTCTGTATCCTGTTGACTTGCCCTTCAGCCATGTTCCGATGCAGAGAGAAGGCCGTCGGCAGATGCCCTCACCATGCTGTTGGACTTCACAGCTTCCAGAACTGTGGGAAATAAATTTCCTTTCTTTATAAATTACCCAGTCTCTGTTACTCTGCTATAGCAATAGAAAACATACTAAGATAGGTAGAGAGGGCAGAAATTTGCCCAAGGCCATCGGCCCAGCTGGGGCACAGCCAGGACAAGAATCAGAAATCCTGACAGCCAGTCCAGAGCTCCCTGCAGAGGCAGAGCCACATGGCAGAAAGGGCAGGTGATTAAGGTCAGGAGATACTGTCTCTGCTTCCTTAGCGCCCACTACTCTCAACTGGTTTTCTCCCCCAGTTCCCCACCCATTGAAGGTGCTGCTCTCACCAAAGTCTGCCATGCTCTGCATGTCACCGAGCCCAGCTTCTGTCTCTGACTTTATCTTACTGGCCATCTGCAGGATTTGACCCAAGAAACCACAGTCTCCCTGAAACACTGTCTCCTGGTTGTGCTCCAGCTGCTCCAGAGGCCTCCTCCTTCTCCTGTGTGAGCAGCTCTTCTCAGCCAGTGTACTCAAGGTGGTGTCTTGGAGGAAGCAGCTGTGAGGTTCCATTGTGCTAATCAGGGCATGGGTGTGCCACAAAGTGTTTATACCAATCAGCCCCTGGGTCCCAGACTCATCCTCCTCTAATTAGAGATTCCTCGTGAAAGGAGCGTGCTGTTTCCTGGGTGGTTATGCCTGCCACCTGCTCCCAAGGCATAAGTTCCAGCCACTGTCTGAGGCTCTGCATGGGAAAAAAACAAATTGTTCCTACTCTCACACTCAACGTTCTGGCCACCAAACTGTGTGGGGATTTTTCCCACATTGACCAATGTTCTGGTGGACACCAACTGGGTATCCTATGGTTCCATTCAATTCAGCCACTCTCTCCCTGGGTTGGCATCAGATCCCACAGGTTAAAGGTCGAGTCCCACAACACTGTCCCTACTTCAAGTGCCAATGACAAGTTTGGGTCCCTGGAACTCCTGGCCAACTGGCTATAAATCAGGAGTTCCCATACGCCCTCCTCTGGTGGTCACAGAACTCAGAAAGGGATTTACTTCCACTTCCTGGTTTATCATAAAGAAAACGACAAAGCGTGCAGGTGAACAGCCATATAGATGAGATGTACAGGACCAGGTATGCGGAACGGCTGGGGGCTTCCATGCCTTCTCCAAGCCCACCACCCTGCACCTGCTCAGCAGCCCAGAAGCTCTTTGAACCCTGTAGTTCAGGGGTTTTTATGGAGGATTCATGAATAGGCATGATCAATTATTATATTAACTCAATCTCCGGCCCCTCGCCCTTTCCCTGAGGATGGGGAGTAGGGCTGAAATTTCCAAACTTCTAACCATGGCTTGATCCTTCGAGTGACCAGCCCCCTCTCCAGGAGCCACCAAGGCTCACGCCTCATTAGGACAGAAGACACTCCTGTCACCCAGGAAATTCCAAAGGGTTAGGAGCTGTGCATCAGGTGCCAGGGTCAGACACCCAATATTAGAACAAAAGATTCTCCCAACACCCCTACTGCTCAGGAAATGGCAGGAGTTTTAGGAGCTCTGTGTCAGGAACAGAGGAAACAGACCAAATACATATTTTTATTATGGTGCAGATTTCCACAGCCAGAGGCATCCAGGGAGAAACAGGCCCATGGTGGAAGCAAGGGAAGGGGCACAGTGCAAGGGAAGGGGCACAGCAAGGATGACACTGAGTTTTATTTGGAGGACTTTTTATTTTTTTTCTTGACTGAAAAAAAATTCTAGTTTTTGTATCGTGGCTAAAAAAAATAAAAATAAAGCTGTGACTTTATGTTTCACAGTAGCTGATTCACACTTGCAGCATTACAGCTCCTGCTGCCTTCCCTCAGAACCTTGGTTACATGGGGAAGGTGTGGTTAGTCTTTGAACCGGGCATTACAGTGTCAGGGGACACATCCTGTCAAGGAAAGACACAAGCTTCCCAGGGCCCCACCCCAGAGCCATGCTGTGATCCACACCACTCTGACTTCCCTTCCCAGGCCATTTGTGTTTGTGTTGCTGCAGTGGCTGTGTGGTAATCAGAAGCTCCCTGGTGAAACCAATTTCTCCAAGGACACAGTCATGGTTGGGGAAGTGTACAGAGATGTAGGTGCCCAGCCCAGAGCTGTTGAATGTCTGAACTAGGTGGTGACGGTGGAAACAGACACTGTCTGGGACCTGGTTTGGAGGTGCGATCTCTAGGGAATGGATTGAATTGCGGAGGAGGAGCTGAGGAAGAGACAGAAATTGAGGACAATGTGAAGGTTTCTGGGTCAGGTAACTTGGTGAGGTGCTTGGGTATCCTCTGTAATTCCCCTGGACTTGCAAGATCAGCACCACTTGGGAGTCCATTAGACATGCACATTCTTCAGCCCCATCTCAGACCCACTGAATTAGAAACTGCAGGGTTGGGTCCAGCAATCCGTGTTTTAACAAGCCTGTCAGGTGATTCTGATGCACAACAGTATCTTTTCAAATGACTGCTTTTTCTCACTTTGAGCACCTTCTAATGGGTGCATATCATGATGGTGTCGCCCAAGACAGCCCACGCCATCGTTAGACAACTCTATTGAGCTCCTCTTGAGAGTGAACTAAGTCAAAGTGGAAATGCAAATAAGACACTCCTGAAGTTACCATGTGGGAGATAACAAAGATGACCCTTCTCCTTCAGACTTGAGGAATCAGAGTATCAAATAAGACTCAGCCCCAGCCCGTCCACTTCCTGCCAATCTCTGGTGGGCCAAGTCCCTCCCCTCCCCTTTGGCCAATGCACCTCCCTCTTCCCACTCAGGTGAGGCTGTTACCAAGCACACTTTGTATGCCTCATAAAGTTAAATCAACAACCAGGAGCAAATAGAGTCTGTGCAAATACGGAGGGCAATAAAGGCAAGAGCAGCAAGATCACACTTCACCCAGGTAGAAGGGCAACAAAACGCCACGACAGATAAACTATTGGACCAGTCCAAAGACTGCCAGGGGGCATGATGTGGTCAAGGAACACTCCCCACCCTCCACTATTGAGCACTCGATGTGCTTGGCACAGAGCTGTAGGTGCTTCACACATACCTGTTGAATGAACACAATCTTCTGAAAAAAGAAGTAATTAACCTTTATTGAGACCTCAATATCTACCAAGTTATTCTGTTCAATGCCCTTTCACCCGTATGGTCTCATCTCATATTCTAATAACATAGAGTGGAATTATCTATGCTTTGGGAACAAGAAACAGGAAAAATCTGGGGCTCAGAGAGGTTAAGTAATTTGCCCACGTCCACACTGCTAGTATTTGGTGGAGATGGATTTTAACCCACGTTCCCTCCCTCCAGAGCCCATGCTCTTTGCCACTGCATCCTGTGATGTCCACAATGCTGGCCACAGAACACAAAGAAAGAGCATGATGGTGGTGATGATGACGAAGTCATCCTTTGTGTACCAGGACCATGAGGTTCCAAGCTGCTCACTCCCAGTGGGAGCAAATTGGCTGTTAATCTTCCCATGGTCTTCTCGCTCTTCCAGGCAACCCCATCCTGCCAGGTGCTCCAACCAAAGGCACTGCCATCATCTCTGACTCAGCTCTTTCTCCCATCCAATCTGCCAGTAAATTTTATGGGCTCTACCTCCAAAATATTTTCGGAACAGCCACTTCACACCTACCACCCTGGCCCCAGCCACTGCTTTCCCCACCCCCTGGATTATTGCACTAGCCCCCTGTTTTGCCCCTCCCTCCTTAAACCCATCAGCCAGATTTAATCTTTATCTATCCTAAGTCTAATCATATCACTCCTCTCCTCAATAGCCTCTGCTAAAGTCTCCCAATTCATTCCAAGTAAAAAGCAAGACCTTCAAATGCCACACAATCCCTGCAGCATCAGATCTCTGACCTCCTCCCCTGCTGCTCTCCTGCTTAACCTGACCCTGGCCCCTTGATGGCTGTTCTCACCGCCCCCAGGGAGGCCTTTCCATTCCCAGCTCCTTCTCCAGGAATCTCCTACCTTGTCCATCCACAAGGCTCCCTCCCTCAACATCTTCCATCCCTGCTCAAATGTGACTTTCCTTGTGGGGCCTTCCCTGGCCACCTTTTTAAAACTGCAAACCACCCCCCAGCTATCCATGCACTACTGCCCTCCTTCCTAGTTTTATTTTTCTCCATAGTACTTTTTTTTAACATCTGAGATACACATTTTTTACTTCCTCATGTGTTGTATGTCTCCCCTAGCACAAAGCCAAGGCTACTTTTTTCCAATTTTGTTCACTAATATAGTCCCAGAATCTAGAGCGATCTTCACCACACAGTAAGTGCTCAATACATATTTATTGATGATTTAGAAAATGAATCTAGTCTCACCTCCACACTGGGATACTGTAAACCAAGATTACTGAAGAGACATAGACTGGACCCTGAGTCCAATGTGCCCCCATCTCTCGGCCATGCCTCCAATGGAAGTCAGGGAGTCTAGATTGGTCGTGCCATTCCCTAGAGGAACTCGGAAGCTCAAGAACAAACTTCATATGTTGAACCAGTCCCCAAAAACATGTATGAAAACGTTTTCAATTAACTGAGGAAGTATCATAATGAACGAAACAAGTTGGCTATTTAAAGGGCTACCTGCTACAAGAAGAGAGCTGCACCACCTTCCTCTGGTACCGAGCAGATGTGCTGGGGTCCCAATATAACTAATTCTTCTATAGGGGGAAGTACCTGTGTCTACACCAGAATTTCTCAAAGTGTGGTTGACAGAACCCCCAAAGGTCCTTGACCTATCAGGAGATCCACAGATCAAGACTATTTTCATAATAATGCTAAGATGCTATTTGCCTTTTTCAGTGTGTTGACATGCACTGATGGTACAAAAGCAATGGTGGGTAAAACTGCTGGCACTTGAGTGAGAATCAAGGCATTGCCACCAAACTATACTAGTAGTCATTATACTCTTCACCACCATGCAGGCAGGGGTGGGGGTGGGGGAGGGGGATGGAATACTAGTTTCACTTAGGAATATCCTTGACTAAGCACTGAAAATTGTTTGTTGTAGTAAATCTTGACTCTTAAGTACTCACCTTTTTAATATTCCGTGTGACGAAATGGGACGTACTCACAAAGCACTTCCGCTGCATGTTGAAACACAGCGGTGGTCCTAAGAAAAAGCACTTGTGAAGTTATGTGATTTCTCAGCTGAACTCACCGTTTTTTTCAAGCAACACCATTTTTATTGGAAAGAATGACTGACAGATAAACTATGGCTATTCAGACTTAGATATTTGGCAGGTGTTTTCTTGAAAATGAACAAAATAAGCATGTCACTTCGAGAAAGACAGTGGAGGCCGGGCGCAGTGGCTCACGCCTGTAATCCTAGCACTCTGGGAGGCCGAGGCAGGCGGATTGTTTGAGCTCAGGAGTTCGAAACCAGCCTGAGCAAGAGCGAGACCCCGTCTCTACTAAAAATACAAAGAAATTAATCGGACAACTAAAAATATACAGAAAAAATTAGCCGGGCATGGTGGCGCATGCCTGTAGTCCCAGCTACTCGGGAGGCTGAGGCAGAAGGATTGCTTAAGCCCAGGAGTTTGAGGTTGCTGTGAGCTAGGCTAACACCACGGCACTCTAGCCGGGGCAACACAGTGAGACTCTGTCTCAAAAAAAAGAAAAAAAAAAAGGAAAACAATGGACAGTTTTTGTTACCAATGATAAAAATGTGAGCTTTCAAGTGAAAATTCCCCTTCTCAAAGCCCTGAGAGAGCTCCCAGCACTGACAGGATGAGGTTAAATTCCTGGCCACAGCATTCAAGGCCTGTTCCCACTTCAATCCCTCTTCCCACAGTGTCCAAATCCCAGTCCTCCAGCCAGTCTGTCAATAGTTCCTGCCTTCAGCCCACCAGCTTCAGGCACCTAGTCACTCGTTCATCAATCACCAAGAACCTGCCTCTGCAGATAAGAACCTGGATCCCACCCTTAACTGCTCAGAGACACAAAAGGAAGGACGCACACACGCACAGATAACCGTGGTGCAAGGACACAAGAGCGGTCCAAATAAAATGCTAGGGGAGTTTGGAAAAGGATGCTGCAAAGGGAGCAAGCATTTATTTTTTTCAAGTGGCAGCAGATTTCCTTAGCGGACAACGATTTTTGGATCTTTTGGAGTACGGAAAATGGAGCCCTCCTCCCACTCCAAGGACTGGCCAGGATGGGGCAGCTAAAACAGAGAGAGCTAAGTGCTCTACATAATAATGTGGGAAGAGTCTGTAGATTGGGGGGCAGGAGGTGGGGTGGTATCCCTGCAAGGGCCAAGGAGGAGGCTGTGAAATGGGAAGAAGAGGAAAGCAAGGGGAGGAGAACCAGGGTCCAGGAGAAGACAGGGCAGGCTTAAGCTCTCTGTGGCAGGAACGGACAGGGAGCTAAGATCAGGGACATCCAATACTCAATTTTAAATTAATCCCTCTGCTTTGCTGCACTGCCAACACCCATGACCCCCACTTTTAGTAAAATTCCACTACTCAGAACTGCTTTGTATGAGCAAAATTTTAGGGAAATCCAGGAAGGGAGCTTTGTTAATTTTCCAGGGCTGCTGTGACAAAGTGGCACAAACTGAGTGGTTTATTAACTTAACAGTTCTGGAGGCTGGAAGTGTGAGGTGGAGGTGTGGGTGGAGTTGGGGTCTTGTGAGGGCTATGATGGAGAATCTGTTCCCTGCCCCCTCCCAGCTTCTGATGGTTTGTGGCAATCCGTGGCATTCCTTGGCTTGTAGCTGCATCATGGCGCTCTCCCTGTGCTCATGTTTCTGTGTCCAATTTCCCCCTCTTTATTGGATTTGGGCCCATCCTGATAACCTCATTTTAATTTATTTACTTATGTAATGACCCTATCTCCAAAAAAGATCCCATTCTGAGGTACTGGATAAGGGGTTGGGACTCCAACATGTCTTTCTGGGGAGGGACCCATTCCAAGCCATAGCAGGAGTTACGTTCTGTGACCCAGACCATGTTGGGGGACAAACAGCTGTAACAGGGGAGATGTGAGTGAGGCAGGCATGTACAGGAAGCAGGAAATTGGAACAAGAGGTGACTGAGAAAGCACAATTCACTACCAAATATCCTCCGAGTTACCGGGAGTGGGGCCACTATGTGTAGGATGACGGTTAAACGGTCCACGAGAAACTACAGGAAAGAGTGATCAATCCTGTAAGGCTGGGAGAACTGGGGACACACACGTCCCCCACCCAACCCCTGACAGCTCACATTTAAGATACTGGATTTCAAAGAGATTTTTTTCAATGGAAAGTTCTAGAGAGTCCTCACGGACGGGTGAAGGATGAGTTAATATGGACTACGCTGTGCCGTCTGTGCAGCTTGAATCCAGTCCTCCTCTCAGTGTTCAGCCTCAGCTGGATGTCCACTTCAACCTCCCAGCTCTCTGACACATCTCCCAACTGTGTCACCACTCATGGTCTGTTTGTCACTGGCCATGTCTGTGCTAAAATTACCCAGCGATGGTTATATTCCCTCTCGCCGACTCCTTGTAAATTCTAGAGCACCTTGTATCCCAGCACACTAACCAGCACACACCAAATAACAAATACTCATCAATGGCTTTGGAAGAAGTTCCTGTGAAATCCTCTTTTAACCAGGGCCGTAAATACTCTGAGGGGCAAATAAGTTCAGTGTGGAAGCCAAACAACAGACTCATTAACTAACTCTAGATGAAACTGCGAAGAGGACTTTGGAGCTTGAAAGGGAAACCTAATTTTTCTTCCCTCGTTAGGAATTTCTGCCAGGCTGCAGAAACCCACAGAGCCTAAAGAAAGAGTATCCGAAGGCTTGCCAGGACTGCAAGGTAAGACTTCTGTGAATTCCTCGGCGAGACTGCCAGTGACCAGGCCTCCCCGGAGAGATGTGGGACCTAGACAGGCGTTGGGAAGTGTCTCTCGGGAGCAGCAGGGAGTCAGGGTTCTGTACATAGACTGGTGCACTCCAGCAAGACGGGGCTTGCAGCAACCCATCCTCGCAAATGCAGCGTTTGGCCAGCTGGGAGGTAACTAAAGGTTCCTGAAACTAGCTCACTCCTCTGCATGGACACAGCAATCTTAACACAGAAGGCTGGAGACTCTGCAGGCCTCTTCTGGCTGACGCTTTCCCTGAGTCTAGCGATAGGCACGCTGTGATCAGTTTATTCAGGACCTCAACCTAGAACCGGTAGGTAGAAAGCCTTCTGACCAAACCACCTTCTTTGTTGCTGACATTTTTCTGGTAGGAGGTAGAACTGACGGGATCTCAGGAGCATCCATCAAAAGGTCCAGCTGTCTGTGCCAGTTGTCGGGTCTACAGTTATTTGTTTTCACACACAGAAGGAAGGCTGCTCTGAAGAAAGGAAGATAGAAATAATCTATTTTTTGTATCATGAAGCAGGATGTAACATTTAGCACAGCATTCATTATGAAAATTGAAGGCAGACGGACTTTCAGTTCTCGTAATTCAAGTCTCAGCTTCAGCATTTCCTAACTGTGTGACTACAGCCAAGTTGTTTAACCTCTCTGAGCCTCAGTTCCTTTTTCTGCAACATGGTCGTGGCAATGGCAATAACATATCACTGAAAAAATAATAATCATATGTCACTAAAGGAATTGCCTTACATCTACCAGGCTGTGAGGCATGAGCATCCATGGTCTCTGTAGCTGTTATTGTAAAACACCCTCCTGGAAACCTGCTGTTCCTCTGAGAAAGCAAGGAATGCTCCAGGTCTAAGGCAGAAGTGACTCCTGCTGCCTGCCATAGTCTCAGTTTACACTGCTGAACATTCTGCCATTCATGTCACCTGGCAGATAGAACATTCCTTCTGGGAAATGAAAACACAGTGAAATGCAAACAGCAGTCAGAAAATAAACCTGAGTCTCAGAGATACCACTGCAATTTGCATAATCATAGGCAAGTCATTCCACCCTCAGAGCCTCGGTCTCCCTACCTTGCAGAGGTGTGGGCAGGATCGAAATGTGTGAGGAGACCTGGGTGAATGCCTTCGCTGTCAAGTGACAGACAAATGACAGCTGTTTTTCTTATGGAAGAGTAAAGTGGAAACAGGCCTTAGAGACCAACTAGATTTTTAAAATAAACAAGAAGCTAGGAATTTCTGGAAGTTCTGTATAGGCAATATTTTTAACTGTTGGGGTCCAAGGAAAGGGAAGTGAAACCACCAAGGAGAACTATAGGGCATTTCTGGACAGCAGTGGTTCTCAAAGTTTAGCAGCATCAGAATCACCTGGAAAACAGGTTAAAATTCCCACTCCTGGAGTTTCTGATTCAGTAGATCCGGGGAAGGGAACCAAGAATTTGCGTTTCCGACAAGTTCCCAGTGATATCAATACTGCTGGTCCAGAGACCACACTTTGAGAGCCATTGCTGTTAGTATTAATACTACAAACAAAATAGTTGGGAGTCAATTAGGAAAAATGTTCAAAACAAATGGCCCTTCTCTTAGGGATGGTCTCTACCGTTAAACAAAGCACAAATGTTAACTGAATGCTTCCTCTGTGCCAGGCTCTGTGCGAGTTTTCTCACTCTATCTGCCAAACACCCTTTGGGGAAGGTGCTGTTATCATCCACCTTGTATAGACGGGAAACTGAAAGCTTAAGCAACTTGGTCAATGTCGTACGACTAAAAAATGAAACTGAGAAACGGACTCAGGACTGCCTAATCTCTTAGCCCTGATGCTGTCTTGCCTTTGAGTTTATTTTCTAGATGATTAATACTAAATAGTGCCGATGCCTGAGCCAGCACCCAACCCAAGTTGGCTGCTGACAGTTCGGAGTGTTTCTCTCACTCCGGAGGGGGGTGGGACAGTGTGCAATGTGATGGGTCCACTTTAGAGGGGGCAGAGAGCTTCTACAGCATCCTTCTGGAATCCAGCCCATGTTACTTTGTGCCATAGGATTTGGTTTCCTGCCAGTAAGTATAATGTAGGTAGAAAGATGAAACCACCAGCCATAACAACTAACAAGTGACCTGTCCTCTGGTCTGGGTGGGGTCTCTTTCCACAATGTCCTCAGTGTTCTGAGGAGGCTACATGCTACCTCCTCCCTTGCATCCTTGCTCAACAGCATGGGAAAATTAAGAAATGCTCTAAGTCCAGCTTATCAAGGTCAAATCAGGACCACTTCCCAGGTCTTACTCTAAGTGATGCCCTTACTAACGCTCTCCAACAGCATGTCCCAAGGACATGGACCACAAGGGAGGCAAGAAGCTTATTTGGTATGGTACCATGGTAGGTGGTTTTTATTTTCATGAAGATGAAACTAAAGACAAGAATGAGATAAGATGGATTATTTGTTTTGTCAGGGGAGGGAATGGACATTCTCATGTGTTTTGCAGCAGTTGTGCTCCATGACCGAGCAGGCGGTTCGAGCCAACAATGTGCCTGGCATCATTGCCCCCGGTAATGTCCATGTCATCCAGTCCAGGGACCCTGTGGCCTCTGAAAGCCACAAGCAGCCTTCGGGGGTGCCCACTTACCCAACCTCATCAACCGTACTCCAGCGTGACACAGGAAGAGCAAACCTACGGAGCCCACTCGCGGTGAACCAGAATCCAGTGGGAATGGCCGGTTTGCAGCCTCCACCCGCAGTGATCCAATACACACAGGGCACAGCAAACCTCCAGACCCTTCCTGGAGATCCTCAGAATCCTCCGAACATCTTCCCTGGGCCGACACACACCTCAAACCCATTCCAATGGAACATACCATTTGGATCATTTCCTACATTTAATCCCAAGAAATTCATAAATGAGGAGGTCAAAACATTGGGGGTGAGTGTGATTTCTTCTTCTTTCCAGTTTGGGTTACTTCATAAGCCCACTTCTCGTGCTCTTAAATGAGGAAGCGAACAGATAGCAAGGGCAAAGGACAAAAGGCGGTTTCTGGAGGCTGGGCCTAGCACAACCCCATGGATGCCAACAACTCCCTGAAACCTCCCCCACCTGGCTGTCAGTAGCAGAGCTCAACAACAGTTTCTCTAAAAGGACCAGCGACCAGAAAGTCAGGAGACCCAGGTCTCAGGGCCCACTAGGCTTGCTGAATGGCTTCAGGAACATCCCTGACCCTCTCTGGGCCTCAATTTCCTCATCTTTAGAATGAGAAGGTCTAGCAAGCTGTTTTCTTAGATTCCTTCTAGCTTCCCGCTCTGAGGTTTTGTGATTCCTTCTTCAGCCAAGGAAGCTCCTGCCTCCTCCAGTTTTATTCGGCATCTCACAAAGCTCAATTCCATTCCAGTTTGGAGGCAGAAACTAGATCAGTCCTGTGCCCCTGAACCAGACACCCGGCCAACTCCTAGCGTGGGGACTGGCATGTGACAGGTGCTGGACCCACATGCACCCACCCATTCCACATGGCAGGCACTCTGCAAGGAGTGCCCGAGGCACCATCCTTGAAGATCAGGGAGGTTCTTCATTTCATAGCAGCTGCCATAACTATAATTCCTTCTGGCAATAGCATAAGTCATATGCATAGGTCGTTGTGGGCACGCAAAGAGTGCAAGTTGACCAGCTTCCTTGAGAGGTTACAGACCCCCTCCTAGAGGCAGGAGAATGAGAACAGATTCAGGAATGGGGCACACTTACCAACACCCCAACCTATCCCTCCTGTGATCCTTCAGGAATAGACAAGTAGATTGTACGAAAAGCAAGGCATTGTTTGCATCCCAAACTTACCGAAACCAAAGCTTGGACTAAATTCTATAAAACAGTCTCAGGCACAGAAATCCTGGTCACAAGCATCAAGGGAGATTATAAATGTGTGTGCAAATCCTACAAAAGGTAAAGATAGTATGTGATGTTACATAGTAATTTTGTATTATAATTTTATATTGTGATTACTATCTTTAGTATTAATACTGAGTAAATGCTTATTAACTTTGGCTCCCAATTACTTTAAGGCATTTTGGAAAGATTCAAATATTTCTCAAAACAGTTATTTTAAGCCAGAACAAATGCCTGAGGAGTCCAGTCAAACACAATGCAAAGCCAAAAGTGTAGACTATCTTTAGTGAATTACAATTTTATTTTGGGGAGGAAACTATGCCTGCCCCTTAGGATACAGAGAAAGTGGCCTGCAGACAAAATCGAGCGCGTTGTCTCAGGAAGGGATGTTCGCATGAAATCCAGGTGTGTCACCAACTCAGGGACTCACAGACCAGGAGAGACGAACACGTCTGCTCTACTCTGGTCATGTGACCCCTAAAGAAACTGAGGCCCAGAGAAGCCAAACGTCACCCCCAAGTTCTCAGGGACAGCAAATGCTGCAGGGTCCCCAAATAGGAAGGGACTCGGCCTGAATGGGGAGGGGGTCAGCAAGACGATTTAGCTGATCCTTAAGGGAAAAATAGGACTTCAGCAGGACGAGAGTATAGCAAGTAGATTTCAGACAAAGGCAGCAGTGGAGGAAAAGCACAGAGGGAGAAGGAGGAACACAGGCCCTGAAGGGGACGAAGCACCCCCCCAGTGTGCCCATTGCAAAGGGGACTTGTGGGCACATTGCAAGGAAGGTTGAAAAGAGAACATGGGGCGTGGGGAAGAGCAGTGGGGTCGGTGGAGGGCATTGGAACCTACCACACACCAGCAACTGGCCTCCAAGCTTCACGCGCACTTCTGATCTCTACAGCGCCCCTGCAAGCCAGATGCTAGGATCCCCATCTTGCAAATAGGGAAACTCCAACACACAGAGGGTGTTCGCCGGAGGCCACACAGCCGGCCAGTGCCACAGCCAGGAACAAGCCCAGGTAGTTTGCCACAAAGCCCAGGCTTAGTTCCCCAGCTTGGCCTATCTCTGCACGCCTGTGGGATCGGTGTGAAAGGCAGATGTTTCTTTCTTCCTCTGTGCTCAATGGTCTTCCCTTTTCCGTATGCCTGTGGTTCTCCACCCTGAGTGCACATCAGCATCACCTGTGCAGCTTCAGGAACAGACCTAGGCATGGACCCCACCCCCAGAGATTTTGAACCAGTTGGTCTGCCGGGAGTCCCAACACCAATCATACCTGGGGAGATTCAGGGGTGCATCTGGGGCTGCAGAGTGCGGCTGCACAGCCCACCGGCCCCCACCCACTTCTGTTCTCTCACAGTGACTTTTCTGCCCCACAGGCCGTCCAGATCCTCATTGGCCTGACGCATATTTTCTCCGCAATCAACCCTGCGTTGTATTTCGGTGACACTATGACTGGGTTGTCAGGGTACCCAGTCTGGGGAGGACTATCCGTGAGTACAAGGCCGTGCGGTCTCCTTCCTGGGTCACCGGCAGGGGACAAGGAGAAAGCAGAGGACTAAGGAGCATGGGATCCCATTCCCAGTAACATGACCCTCATAGCCTAGAGCCAGCCACCTCGCTCTGCAGGGGCAGCAAAGGGTCAAGGATCTAACCGCCACCCCCGTGCCCCAGCTACGCCCCCCAGCCTATTCTGAACTATTGGCTGCAAACTTTCATCACCCTGTACTTCAACAGTGGAGTTCTCTTTTTATGAAATAGCACATATGTAATTCAGAGTATGTAAAGCTGTGTGCTGGAGACAGCAACTACCTACCACACAGGAGAGCTAATTATAACATTTTCAGGAATTATGTAAAATGGCTGTCAAACCATTTGGTAGCAGGAAACTGGCCATACTGGGTATGTATATACCATGAAAATTAACAAATGCTCCAAATTAGGGCCTTTGCCTGAACGCCTGCCACCTCGCAGGGTGGATGTTAAATGTTTACCGACACACCACTGAGCATGTATAATGTTGTAGAGTTTAAATAACAATAATAAAATGAACACCCACGTGTATGATTCCACTTAGATGAGGTACCTAGAATAGTCAAATTCATGGAGACAGAAAGTAGCATGGTGGTTTTCCCAGAGACCGAGGAAAGGAGGTAGTGGGACATTAGTGTTTAATGGAGACAGAGTTTCAGTTTGGGCCAATGAAAGGCATTTCGGAGGTGGATGGTGGTGGTATTGCACAACAATGTGAATTTGCTTGGTGCCAGTGAACTGCCCACCGGAAGGTGAATGGTAAGTTTTATGTTGTGTGTATTTTACCACAATTGAAAATAATAAACATTAAATTTTTAAAAAATTAACACCCAGTATCCACCACCTAACTTAAAAAACAAAGTATCACCAACAGTTACATCAATAAAATCGGTAAGAGTATCCCCTCCCTGCCCCGAGGTAACCACTATTTTCAAGTTTGTGTTCATCATTCCCTTGCTTTTCCTTATAGCCCAACCACATACAACGCTACGCAATGTGTGGCTTAGTTGTGCATATTTGCAAGCCCATATAAGTGGAATCACACTATATCTGTATGCCACTAGCTTTTTTCCCCACTGGACATTTTATTTGGGAGATTCATCTGTGTTGCAAGAGCTGTTCATTCGTTTTCACTAATGTATAGTATCACACTATAATTTATTTATCCATTCTCCTGTTGACCAACATTTAGAACGCCTGTAGTTTTGCACAATACAGACTATGCCACTGTGACTGCTTGTGTGTGCTTCCTAGAGCATGTGGGCAAGACCACTCCGCTAGCATGCCGTGAGTGGCTCTAGGTGTGCCTGGAGACACCACTCCACAGCCAGGTGGGGCTAGAGGAAACCAGAACTCCGCGCTCAGTGGCATCTGACTGCATGGAGACTTCCCTGGAGCTCCTCAGAGGGCAGCTGTAAGGAAATCTATTTGTGAAAAGGGTAGAGAAGCACAAGTCGACCAACCCTTGCTGCTCAAAGTGTGGTCCTTGGACCAGCAGCCTCACCTGAGAGCTTGTCAGGAATGCAGAATCTTTCCTATTGAATCTGAATTTTAGCAGGATCTGCAGGGGATTCTTATATACTTTAAAGTTTGAGAAGGACTTCTCTAGACTGCCATTAAGAGTAGCATGGCCACGGTGGCTCACGCCTGTAATCCAGCACTCTGGGAGGCCGAGGCAGGCGGATTGTTTGAGCTCAGGAGTTCGAAACCAGCCTGAGCAAGAGCGAGGCCCCGTCTCTACTAAAAATACAAAGAAATTCATC